TCGAAAGTGCAGTCGGTAATTGTTGCCGAAGTGTCGAAGATGGCCACGGAACCGCCCGCTCCAGTAGTGCTTGCTACGGTGCACCCGCTGAACGTCGAATTTGAGAGGTCAAGCTCCCTCGGGCATGCGTCTTGGTCAGGGCGGTTGACCAGCAGCGCCCCGCCGTAGTGCGCCTGACCCAAGATCAAGGTTGGGTTCGTCGGGGAGATGGGTACAACGGAAGCGAATCAATAGTGCTCGGTGTCAACAAATACAGCAGTACGAACCCGAAGTTATCGTGAACGGACCATGCTTCTGTACAACTATTTGGACGGCGGTGGAAGGCATGCAGGGCATGCGAAGAACAGATCAGCCAACATGCCCGCTTGGAGACAATACGTGAGTCCTGGCTTGGTTGTGCAGCAGGCATGTCATTGTCAAGTGCTGGAAACAGGAGCGTTTCCGTTGAGATATGCCAGCGGCAAAGGAGTTTCGCTCTCGGCCCAAAACAGAGGCAGATTAGATGTACTAGTTCAGAAGATGATTAGGACAGCAGTCTCTTTTGATCCTTTCTCGCTTGAACCCCATCCGTCGACTCACGCCGTCGCTGGCAGTGTCCGCTCCCGTGAAGACAGTATCGGAGATCACCGCACCGCAGCACTCGATGGCAGCTCCGCCGTACTCGGCCGCAGACGTCGAGAACGTAGTGCCAGTGACCGTGAGCTCAACATTGGTGCCTGCGTAAACATCGCCTCCTGCGCCGTCCGCGTCAACGCCCGTCCCAACTTCGTTGCCCCTGAAAAGGGAGTCCGTGATAGTGAGGGTTTCGGAGCCGATGGCGTACACTGCACCGCCCCTCTCGCTCGCGAGGTTTGATTTGAAGATGGAGTTTGAGATGGCAATTGCTTCAGCAGAGTCGGAGTAGATCTGGCACGGCAGGCGGCAGAGAAGGAACAAAAAGTGAGGGGCACGTGCGACACTTCAGCGTCAACAGCAGTTTTGGGCAAGCACGCATTCGCTCGGATTGAATCAATCCCAACGTGCCGAAAGCAGGACACCAACCAGTCGTGGGGTTCACAGAACACCACTTGCACCTTCGAGTTCGCGGCGGAGTACACTAGTGGTATCGAGCATTTACACATTCCAAGGGGCTTTTGTCCGCGGTGTGAATTTTACAGATGTATGCCGTGTATGACATTTGATACCGCACCTCCTTGATCGGAACTAAAGCTCGAGAACTCCACGACGAAGAGGATGCATACACGAAGCGATACGTTTTCGGACATCTCTGGACCAGACGGCTTCAACGCCGCCTGTTTCGGCGCTGCGATTATTTTATTATTTCTGCTTTTGATAAATCGAGCTTAAAAAATAGGTCCAGGGGGTGTGTTGTGTCGTACAAGGTGTACGGTATGCGCGTGTTATGATGGGGGCTCGGAGACATGTAGGTAGTTGGCATGCCGTTCGTGCTCCTTGAGGAACTCGGTGACGTGTGTCTGTAGTGGGTGAGAGTGCTGTTTTCTCACTTCAAGTTTTATTTCGCGGTTGACATAACCAATTCATCATGTTTTGTCACCCTTTCGCGTCTTCGCTTGGGAACCGCTTGTGACTACAAAGTGACTGATCTGTGAGAAAAGAGATTTTCACCACATGGAAACTTCCAAACCAGCAAATTGAAAATTCCACGCATATCATACACTTGTGCACCAACGCTATTAACATGCATGCCCATGCGTCGGATAAGACATGGCATTTGGACATTGATTCGTGCACAACTATTGCCGTAGAGAGACAGGATACGGGAAACTTCACCCCCAATTCCTTCCCTGGTGAGAGGTGTGACAGACAGATAAATTTATGAGGGAAAGAACGTCTGAGGAAAGAAGGCTTCGCAGAACGAGCCGATGACTTGCTTATATTTACCTGCCAAGTACAGCGCTGATGACAGGTATGGCAACCCTGGGGTGACGTGTTCGTGGCTGCAAAGCCAGACCGGACACGGGCAATAACTATCGTTGAGAAGCACGATGACCACTAAACCACCAGTCAGCGCAGACTGGAAATCAAGAGGTCATCATGCTCCAACACAGAGACGTTCGCATGCATCTTAGGCGTACACACAGACCTGCTGCTTCATCTCTGTGCGTCTATTTCTAGAAAGAAAACAATCTCACAGAGAGACTGCCCGTGCGAGATTATTCCTCTCTTCCTTGGCAATTTGCAAAACGGACGTTGAGCAAGCGAGAGGGTGAACAGAACTGGTACAACACGCGGAGAAATTATGCACGCTGTCATTTCAGAAAATGTTAACGGGCACCGCGCTACGCTCAGCTCATTATTGTGTGGTAAAATCCAATTGGCGGCCGTCCGAGCTCTGCTCAGCCTGCCGCTGCTGTTCGTTCGGGGTATTGTAACTATGTACAGTGTTGTGCCTCCCGTTTAAAAATACTACACAAGAAAATAAGGACCAGGATATCGATCGTACGTACAGAATCCGACCAGAGTAGAAAAAACGGAAGGCGTCCAGGTGAGGGGATAATGCCGGACAAGCCTACCGTACACTTACATGCTGCATCCCACCCCGAGCAAGAATGGGTGTTTGTAGCTCTGGGTGTGAGGTGAGGAAGTGTTGGGGTTCATCCGAAAGCACGTGGCGCGGGAACAATTTTTCGATTTTTCAGCCTGTGGAAGACCAACAGCTGACCAGCAACCAGTGACTACAATAGTGAGAACAAATGTCAGCATGTCGGACATCAGCCATCAGTCATCAGAGAGGGCCACTTGGTCTTCTGCGTGATATACATCAGGGGAGGGGCAAGCTTGAGAGAGAGGAGGCACAAGTTCGATAAAATGCCACGTCCAACTAATTCCAACAAGTTGCCTGCCCTGCCACGTCCTCTCCTTCACGTCAACACGTCATACAATGCATAATGTGGCAGACGACACCCGCGGCCACGGCTCACGATTCTGTGTGGCGTTGGGATCAGCAGCAGCAAGGAACAACTTTACCGACCACGAAAGAAAGGACGTGAGGCAGGAAGCGAACGAGAGGTGACGCTAGGGTACTTTAGTTGTCTTGTGTCTTGTTCGTGCATATCAATATCTGGGAGGGTGGCGTATATGGTTTCACTTACCACACCCCCCCTAGCAAGGAATGCTCCGGTAGGGTAAAGTTCGAAGGTGCAGCCTTCCACCGAAAGCTCTCCGGCGTTCCAGACAGCGCGGTTCCCATTCGTTGTTTCCGTAACGAACGTGATGCCGTCGAGCTTCAGGATGCCCTCATTCACGAACAGGCTGCCGTCCTCGTCCGTGCTGCCGGCAAACCCCGCGCCGATGGTGATCGTGTAGGCGCCGCTGATGGTGACATCCTGGCCAGCAGTGACCGTGATGAATGTGTCGCAGTTAAAGCCGCCCTCGAGCTCTATCGTCCCTGTATCGGAGATGGCCTCAACCGCGGTGATGAGGTCGAGGCAGGAGGTGACAGCCGAGGCTTGCCTAGCAGCAAGCCCGAGGAACAAGAGGGCGAGACCCGCGGTCTTACTGGTGAACCCCATTGCTGCTGCTGTACTGCTACCTCCGCGGCTAAAACAGATGGGTGTGATGAGCCGAGCTGTTCCTGAGTTCAAGAGCCAGGGCAAAATGTTCCAAAACCAAACAGACGCGAACCACACGCGATATTCGCTGGTCGATGAATTTGCGCGGTCCTTCAGCAAGAAAACTACACGCGCAGCTTAACCCTGGCGTCGAGGTGGTGAAGGTTGCGGCTTGGGTGTCTGTCGTCTATCGGCGTTGATGACGGTGTGTCGTGTGTCGTGCTGCTGTTTTGCTTTTCGAATCAAACGGCTCTCACTCTATTTTTTTCTTCTGTCGGGGAGTGCGCGCGAAATAGAACAAAAAAACGTAGATGTGGGTCGATGGGCGTGCTTTGGCCTCCAATCGATATGAAACCCTTGATTTCGCAGAGGACGTTTGCGCGCTTCGGTCTTGCAACAAGCTGTGTCGGACACACTCTCCCCGGACCAACTTATTCAAAGCTCGGATACACTCCAAAGTGAAGATGGCAGCGGTGCCGAAAATAAATGTAGGCGTTGGATCCATGTCGCCGGGAGCCTTCCAACAATGTGCGGGTCACATGATTTCTGAAACTTCACGATCGAGTAGAGTTGTTGTTGTTGTCTTCACATGAAAAACCGTTCCGATCTCTCTCTACCCTGTACCTTCGTATGTCCGTACTGATCCAACACTCGACGCGGTCGATTCCCGTGATCGTAGGCTAACTTATCCTAATAAGGTACACTCAAATAAAATGGCCCCGAGGGGTTTGCAAGTCAATAGAAATCAACGACAGATATTCTGGAGTCCTCCACTCCCTCTGCGCGCTATTCGAGAGGTAACAACTGAGACTAGGGGTCACCATCACCGGCCGGAGAGAATGAGGTACACCCCCTTGGTTCAATCTTGGTGCTTCACAACGCAAGCAGAAACCGTGAAGATTCAGTACGTATTTGAATCTGTGGTTTGTGGAGGCGTGTTGGAATTCGGAAAAGCGGGGATCGACGAAAAGTAGAGACAGCCCTGCTGGTGGCAGAACGTTTTTGCGCTCTCGCTGGGCGAGAGACAAGCAGCAAGTGCATTTGAGAGAAGGAGAGGAGTACCAGAGATAGCAGCTTTGCGGAGCAGCAAACACGGAGTGCCTTCTAGGATTCNGAATCTGTGGTTTGTGGAGGCGTGTTGGAATTCGGAAAAGCGGGGATCGACGAAAAGTAGAGACAGCCCTGCTGGTGGCAGAACGTTTTTGCGCTCTCGCTGGGCGAGAGACAAGCAGCAAGTGCATTTGAGAGAAGGAGAGGAGTACCAGAGATAGCAGCTTTGCGGAGCAGCAAACACGGAGTGCCTTCTAGGATTCGATCGATTTTGGGATGGACGCCAATGATGGGCAACCGGCGAGCGCGAGCGCCGCGGCGGGCGCCGCGGCGGCCATTCCAGGCAACTCGGGGGACGGCAGTCCTCCAAACTCGGCTGCCGGCGGCGGGGACGACCAAAACAGGCAGCAGCAACAGCGACAACAACAACAACAGCAGCCGCAGCTGCAGCAGCAGCAGCAGCAGCAGCAGCAGCAGCAGCAGCAGGGACACCACCATGACCAACCGCAGCAACAAAACGTCGGCGGTCTGGCGGCAGCAATTCCGCCGCCGCCCATGATTCCCGGAGCCCCCCAACCTCAGCTGATGCAACAGCAGCAGCAGCAGCAGCAGCAGGGGGCCGGGAACAACCCGAACGTCTTCTCGCTGCTACAACAGCTCGTCAATCAGGGCCACCGCCAGCAACTACAGATACGGTCTCTCCAGGAGGTGGTGGTAAACTTGACCGGCAACCGGCAGCCCGCGCAGGGCGCCGCGGCCCACAACAATGCCCAGGGCGGCTCCAATAGCCAGTCCGTAGCCCTCCCCCTGGCCCAAGCGCCGCCGCCGCCGCCGCAGCAGCAGCAGCAGCCGCATCAACATCATCATCATCAGCAGCAGCAGCAGCAGCAGCAGGAACACCCTCACCAGCAGCAGCAGCCGCAACCGCTGCAACAACAGTATCAACACCAACAACTTCAGGCCTACCCCAGCCAGCACTACCACCAGTCGGCCGCGCCGCAGGGATACCAACAGCTCGCGAGCATCCCGGGGGCCGCGCCTGTATACAATGCCCATCGGCTGAAAGAAGCCCAAAAGCTGGAGGGCCGCACGTGGGAGAAGGACGGTCAAGCGGCCCTGTACCTAATGCGAGGCGCTACCTGCTCGCCTATCGTCATGACGGTGGGCGAGCTAGACCGCATCATTCGGGACGTGGCCCACCCGCACCCGGGCCTGCACGCGCTGCTTACCTTCAGCGCCATCGACATCGCGGCGTTCTCGCCGCCGCGCCCCNAGGTCAATGGTCTAACGACTACGGCATGCACGACTATGAGTACACCCCCCCCCTCCGTCCGCTCCGCCCGCTCGTGCCCCTCCTGCCTCGAGAGCGACACAAGTACCAGTCGCGAGGTACAGCCACGGAGGCGGCCGGGGAGGAGGAGCAGCGGGAGGGGGAGGAGGTGGAGGGAGCGCGGGAGGAGGCCGTGGCGGTACCAACCCATGACGGTGCGGGCCCCACTTTCACGAGGTGAGCCGACAAGGGGGGGTGGCGAGCTTGGCACGGGAGCGAACGCCTTCACGGACAGCAGAAGGACAGTACTTGTAGCGAGCGTGGGAGTTCCCCTTCCCGGGTCGGTGGCACCCGCTGTGTTTTACGGTGAGAGCATGAGTTGCGAACCTGTAATTTCCCATACTGTTAACTGTTCGGATTCGTTCTCGCCGCGGACACCCTCGGCGCTAAGTACGGGTCAAATAACCTACAAGTGGAGGACACCGCACAGGTGATAGATGAGTCAAAACTATTGGCGGACACCAATTGTGCGAATACTGACACACACCGGGCGGACACCCGGTGTGAACATGCATTACCCTCACTCTCGCAAACGGTGGACGCCGTTCCCGCGAAAAACTCAGTAACGGAATACCTATTGGCGGACACCAATATCGGGATCAATTACTGCTCTGCCTTGTACACCACGGAGACTGTGGCGGACACCACACGTGCTGAACATTGCAATGCAGTCGCCTCGGGGGCGGACACCTCGGGCGGATGTAATTGGCCCCGTGGCACGCAAGCGGTGGACGCCGCGAGCGTTGTCGGTAAACAAAAAATACTGGCGGACACCAGTAGTGTGCAGAAGGACATACACAGGGCGGACAACCTGCGTCAGAATTTTTCAGTCGCACAGCCCCGATTGGCGGACACCATTCGCGGGAACGACCGCGGCACGCANATCGGGATCAATTACTGCTCTGCCTTGTACACCACGGAGACTGTGGCGGACACCACACGTGCTGAACATTGCAATGCAGTCGCCTCGGGGGCGGACACCTCGGGCGGATGTAATTGGCCCCGTGGCACGCAAGCGGTGGACGCCGCGAGCGTTGTCGGTAAACAAAAAATACTGGCGGACACCAGTAGTGTGCAGAAGGACATACACAGGGCGGACAACCTGCGTCAGAATTTTTCAGTCGCACAGCCCCGATTGGCGGACACCATTCGCGGGAACGACCGCGGCACGCAAGCGGTGGACGCCGCGAGCGTTGTCGGTAAACAAAAAAACACTGACGGACACCAGTAGTGTGCAGAAGGACGTACACAGGGCGGACACCCTGCGTAAGAACTTGTCAGTCACACAGCCCCGATTGGCGGACACCATTCGCGGGTACGATACGGAATTGGCGGACACCATGACCGTGTCAAAAGCTCTCCCGGGGGCGGACACCCCGGGGGAAGCACTGTTGGCACGTAGGGAACTAGCGGCGGACACTGCTAGGGCCGCTGACATCACAGAAGCAATGCGACATGATTGCGGGTCGAATTCAACGACTTCTCACTTCTGGGGCGGGGAAAGATCCTTCGGCCCTAGAGAGTCCAAAAAATACAACCTTGTCGGAAGATTCAAAAACGCTGACCGATAGACTCGAGGTACAGAGAAGCAGACTCGCGTCAAGCATACACTCACTAGACGAGAAGCAATGTATCATTCGGAAAATGGCGGACATTGGTAGTGATCTGGTAAAGCTCCACGATGGAAGGCTGGGAGACGTCGCGAGGGGAATCGGCGGCACTTTGGTGTCACCGCCGTTGGACGTGAGCGACGTCAAGCAGTACTTCGGAGAGGAGAAGGGTTTTCCGGGTATCGACGACCTCATTGAGATAGTCGGCGAAGGAGCCCCGGCCCCCACTCTAGACTCGCAGCAAAACCTTAAGAAAGCCTTGGCATACGGCAACCACCGCAGCGTAGACGAACACCAAACGCAAGTGTGGGAAAAACTATGCGACGATGACAAGCGATACAGGTGTATCGTCCTGAGAAAGGCGAACACGTCGGACGTACGTGGGATCAGGGTAGCCCCGTTAGGAGCGGTCCCAGGGAAAAAAGTGAGGATCATCAACGACTTCTCTTTTAACCCAAGCACTAGCAAGGGGTCAAAAGGTGGGCTCAACAAAGATACCATTATGTCCGGAGTTCCACGTTGCCTGTGCGGCGAAGCCCTACCAGCTTTCCTCGAGGAGCTCACTAGCCTACGAGTAAGATGGCCAGACAAGAGAATCCTCGCAGCCAAGGCTGATGTCACCTCTGCGTTCAGAAATGTGAGGATATCACCAGATCATGCACACAACTTTTGCTACGTGATAGGAGACGTGCTAGTAGCGGATCTACGGCTGACCTTTGGCTGGGCAGCGTCACCAGGATTGTGGGGTGTGTTAGCCTCCGCTGCAGAGCACTCGCACCGCAACACGTCCCTCCCGAACGCTCGACTACTACCAGAAGGAATCGCAATGATGTCCCACGTGAAAATAAAACCTCCTTGGGAAAAAGGCACCCCAACCCCAATACCATCGTCGGCAGGCGTAAGACCGCATAGAGGCGGGGGACCCGCGGACGATTTCTTGGCCAGGGTCTACGTTGACGATTTCTTGCTCACGAAGGTCAAGCATGACTCCACTGACCAATCGGCACTAATTGCGTCCGCCTCTCTAGCGTCAGACCATGTCAGACTGTTTGGCAAGGGAGAACTCGGAGAAACCCCCATTCTCGCCCCGAAAAAGAGCACTCACTGGGACACGGTCACAGAGGCCCTGGGGTACATCATAGCCACGCATGCTGGCAGAATTGCAACTACACCGGAAAGGGTAAGCGCGATTCGGAACATACTAGAGACAGATTGGCCTCACGATAGGAAGAAGGCCAGTGTCCAAGAAGTCCTCAGCATTGCAGGAAAACTGTGGAACCTCACTTATGTTATCAGGGCCGGTAGGTACTTCGTGTGGCAAATGCTCCGCCTATCGGGTCTGCATACGCAGGCCAGTCGACACACACGGTCACGACGACTAGTGGAATTGGGTAGAGAGTTCCACGGCGATATCGCCTTCTGGAAGTGGGCCCTCAATCAGCCACTGGCACTTCGAGGGGAGTCCCTCAGCGCATCGTCCCTACTACACGTAAAACGAGCACCATTACGCCTTTACCTCTCAGACGCTAGCTTCACAGCGATTGGCGGCTACTGTCCCAAACTAAAGATTTTCTGGAGATACACGATCGACTCATCGTTGTCTGCGGCGCTCAAGCGCAAGGCGCAAGAGAAGGAGACGTCGGACATTACGATCAATCTGTTAGAACTCGCGGGCATGTTCATGACGGCGTGGGTAGTCCAAATGATCTTGAAAGACAGATCCGTAGAAGAAGGGCAGTCGGTGTTGATGCGTGGAGACAACGTGTCGGCCGTCAGTCGGACTAACAGGTGTGGGGGATCGCGTGACAGGCGCGCTAGCCTCATAATGAGACTCATGGGTAGGATGGAAATTTCTTGCGGCTTGTGCCACGTGGCCAAGCACATCCCTGGTCGAAAGAACACACTTGCGGACGGGATCTCACGCTGGGAAGAAAAGGAGATCGCCGCCAACGTGAAAATGCTCACAAAAGACTCAGAGTGGACACAGCAGGATATTGGAGAAGGGGGACGAGTGTTGCTCAGCCTTATCCTTCAAAAGAAATTGCCGAAAGAAAGTCTGGAAGACTCGGTATGAGACATTATGGTCCATGGAACAGAAAATATCTGACACGGCAGAAGGGGCGGATGGACACCGCTCCGTGTTTTTCCGGACTTTCAACGAATTATCACACGGAATGAGATGGAGCGGTGGACACGCCTCACATTCACTGTTTCATGACGCCTTGATAAAATGGATAGCCAGGGGAGGCAGAGTTGATTTGGACGACCAAGTTTTTCTGTTCTCCCTTCAAGCCAAGCCGGCGCTATCCACGGTTTCGGCATGAACTTGTCGTACCTTGGAAAGGAACCTCCAACTGTGCCATTCCCCACGCTGTGCATACCCGATGATTGAATATCAGGAACACAGGGAAAGGATGGCCGGGGAGGCACGAGCGTCGAGGGGGAGCGGTTGGTCAACGCACTCACCTTCGGGTCTTTGGGAAGTGGTACCAACAAGGTGTATCAAAGGATGTGGAACATGTGGAAGGAGGCTCGAGCAGGGGCGGGTTCGGGCCCGTGGCTCCCCGAGAGCGATGGGGTGGAAAGTGCGGTGCGTGAGCTGTCTGTGTTCATGGCTTGCCGGTGTTTCGGCCACAAGAACCAGAGTCAGACTATCCGCGGGTATCTCTCAGCCGTCAAGTACTTCCATAAGATGCACGCAGGATGGGAGTTGCCCACTTCGCATTTCCAGATCCTTGCCATGTTGAAGACCAGTGATAGGGTCCACGCCAATACGCAGACGAAGCCTAAGGTTAGGAATCGACTTTCTTGGGACATGCTAGAGGCTGGAAAGTGCGTGGTCGAAAATTCGGGAGAATCAGGGAAGTTGATCTGGTGTGGACTTGCCCTCTCGTACTTGCTGATGTGCCGAGCCTCAGAAATCTGGGCGGACGACTCGGGGCTCGTGCACTCGGATTTTTGTCTGACAAGAGGAGACCTGGGTTTCTTTTGCGGTCCGGTAAGGGTTGCATGGGCAGACCGGAGGCAGGCCAGCCGAGTGGAAGTCACGTTCAGAGCGTCAAAAGCAGATCAAAAACGTTTGGGAGCAACCGTCACTAGATCGGGAGAAGCGTTGAAGGTGTTACTCGATCTGTTAGATCTGCACCCCGAGCTCGGGAGTCATGCGCCGTTGATGCAATCGTGGGCACAAGACAGGTGGAAGGTGATTTCGAGGGCAGAGGCATCGAGACACCTCAGGTTACTCGTGAGTGCGGCGGGTAGAGACCCACAGAAGTATGCGTTGCATTCAGGAAGGATCGGGGGGGCCACGCATCTAGCAAGTATGGGGGCGTCAGTGATTCAGATCCAGAGAGCCGGGAGGTGGAAATCATCGGCTTTTATTGTGTATGTTAGGGCGGGGGGTGAAGGAGCAAAGTGTGTCTCAGGCCCTTACGGAACCCGAGGAGTGACCTGGGAGCGGTTCGGAGGAGTAGGTCATCGGACATGCCTAATGGAGTAAGATATTTTTAGGCCAGAGGCCGAAACAATAGTAATGATAGTAGGGCAATCTTGAAAAGTTTGCAACGGGTTAGTCCGATAAGATAACAACGTTGGGAGCAAGACGGCATTTTACCTGCGTTCTCAATTTGTTTCATGTGTCTTGGGTTTTTCTTTGGTTGCCTGCAGAAAAATAATCCAGAATTCTTGAGCAAACATAAA